AGTGAGGGGCCCAAAACTGAACACAGGAATCGAGGGGCGGCCTCACCAGTGCCGAGTACAGGGGTCAGATCCCTTCCCTGTCCCTGCTGGCCACGCACTTTCTGACACAAGCCAGGATGCCATTGGCCTTCTTGGCCCCCTGGGCACACTGCTGGCTCATATTCAGCTGGTTGTCAAACAACACCCCCAGCTCCTTTTCCTCCAGGCACCTTTCCAGGCACTCTTCCCAAGCCTGTATCATTGCAGGGGGTTGTTGTGACCCAAGTGCAGGACCTGGCACCGACCCTTGTAGAACCTCATACAATTGGCCTTGGCCCATGGCTCCAGCCTGTCCAGATCCCTCTGCAGAGCCTCCCTATCCTAAAGCATATCAACACTTCTGATGAACTTGGTGTCATCTGCAAACTGACTGAGGGTGCCCTCGATCCCCTTGTCCAGATCATTGATAAAGATATTGATTAGAACTGGCCCCAATACTGAGCCCTGGAGAACACCACTTGTGACCGGCTGCCAACTGGATTTAACTCCATTCACCACCACTCTTTGGGCCCGGCCATCGAGAGAGTTTTTTACCCAGTGAAGAGTACTCCTGTCCAAGCCGCGAGCAGCCACTTTCTCCAGGAGAATGCTGTGGGAAACGGTGTCAAAGCCTTACTAAAGTCCAGGTAAACAACATCCACAGCCTTTCTCTAATCCACTAAGCTGGTCACCTTGTCATAGATCATGTTAAGTCAAGCAGGACCTGCCTTTCACAAGCCCACGCTGACTGGGCCTGATCCCCTGGCTGTCCTGTATGTGCCGTGTGACGGCGCTCAGGATGAGCTGCTCCATCACCTTCCCCAGCACCGAGGTCAGGCTGACAGACCTGTAGTTCCCCAGATCCTCCTTCCAGCCCTTCTTTTAGATGGGTGTCACACTTGGCAACCTCCAGTCAACTGGGACCTCCCCGGTTAGCAGACATTTGAAGTCCCCCATGAGAACAAGGACTACCAAGTGTGAGACTTCTCCCAGCTGCTTATAGAATATTTCACCTGGTTCTTTACCCTGGCTGGGTGGTCTATAACAGACTCCCACCATGATATCAGCCTTGTTGGACTTCCCCCTGATTCTTACCCACAAACACTCAACCCTACCATCACTATCATCAAGCTCTAGACATTCAAAACACTCCCTAACATACAGGGCTACCCCACTGGCTCTTCTTCCTTTCCTACCCCTTCTGAGGAGTTTATAGCCATCCATCACAGCATTCCAGTTGTGTGAGTCATCCCATCATGGAGCTGTGATGGCAACTTTATCATAGTTTTCTGGCTGCACGATGGCTTCCAGCTCCTCTTGCTTGTTGCCCATGCTGAATGCACTGGTGTATGCTTCAGTTGGGCTATTGAACCCGCCACCTTTCTGGTGGGAGAAGCCCTAATTCCTCTGTGACCACTGTCAGGCCCGTGGTTTCTAACACATCGATAACCCTTGCATCTTCACCACCAAGTGGATCTTCATCCCCTCCCTCCTCTGAGACTGAAGAACCCCATTAGCACACTGTCCCTTAAACATTGGCATGCCACCCCAGGCTTATCTCTAGTGATTCTGTTTTTTTTGCCTCTCCCCCTTCAAATCTAATTTAAAGCTCTGTCCACGAGCCCTGTCAATACCTGTGCAAAGATCTTTTTCCCGCTTCGAGACAGGTGTACCTCATCTGTTGACAGCAGGCCTGGAGTTGTGTTAGACCAACCCATGACCAAAAAACCCAAAATTCTGCTGGTAACACCACGCTCAGAGCCAGCTGTTGATCTGCTGGGTCTTCCTGTTTTTTCCCCTCATCATTCCCTGCAACTGGAAGGATAGAGGTCAACACTACTTGTGCTCCTGATCCCTTAACAAGTCATCCTCACACCCAAATGCAAAAGACCTGATACGAGAGAAAAATCACTGTCTTACTCAACTGAAACAGGAGGAAAAGAAATTGCAATACTAAAATAAAACCAGCAAAACCAACAAAAAACAACAAAAAACTGCAACAAATACAAACAAAAACTAAGAGGCGAATAACTAATTTAGGCACTATTCAGTGCCCATACTCTACCTAAATTGTTGAAGTTGAAGGTTATTGGTTTAATCAGAACCACCATAAAAATAAAAGCTAGGGTCATAAGTACAAGATTTATCTTGAATAAACAAAATAGGTTTCTCGGTAAGGCATTTTCATTTAAAATAGAAAAAAAAAAATAGGTTGCAGTTTGTCAACTGACCAGTAAGGGGAGTCGGTGCCTAGAGCTTTGAGTCAACCACGCATATGCAATTTTGGGTGGAGAAAACTCAAATAAACAATTCGGAGGTAGTGATACTGAGAAAACATTGATGACTGCCAGAAGATGCTAGAGGATGATGGACAGAGAGCACCATGTCCAGAAAACCCATTAACCTGGAACAAAGAGGGCTTGAGAGATACTACAGTAGAAACAACAACAACCAAAAAAAGAGTCATGTTTTTGCTTGGAAATGAGTCTTTGTTTTCCTGCAAGACTTAATGGAGAGCATGTGATGTAGAGCACTTGGAAGGAGAAGAGTGAAAGACAAAGGAAATCAAGTCAAGATGGAGCTTGGGATAAGAAAATAAGGGTTAAATCTCAAACTCTCACTGAGTACAATATTCTGATGGCAGCATGTTTCCAAGAAAAAAAAAAACAACAAAAAAAACCCCAACCTAGGCCAATTCTTCTGGTGGCCTTGAGGTGACATCTAGGAGGGTACCAGATGCCTGGGAGAAGACTTCAGGAGACACAAACTAATCTGTCATCTTACCACTGAGCCCCAGAACTAGAAACAAAAAGGGGAAAAATTGCAAATAAAGGTTTATTTAAAAAAAAAATAATTTAAAAGCTCAAATCATCTTGTGACGAGTGGGATTTAATAATATTACACAGTATCTAAAGAAAAACGCCAACAGTAGGAACTCATTAAGCATCGTATGGGGAACAGCAGCAAAATCATTACTGCATCTATAGCCACGCTGGCTCGTCAACAGGGACGGGGCTGCCACCAGCTACGGGGCCACGGGGAGGTGCACTCAAACACTTGTGTTCCTCTTTCCCGTTAATCCCATTAACCTTGTATTTACTCTGTTGTTGGTGATTACTCAGGATGTTAGCGGGCCTGCTTTTTGCAGCCTATTTACTGAACATTACAAATCTGTTTAGCTTTGTATACAAAACGGGGCTGGTACATGCCAATGCTCCCCATGCGATGGAAAACGAAAAGTAGAGAAATAAAATGCTTTTTAAGGATTTGTTGCAAAGATCGTGATTTCTTGAATAAGAATTAACTGCAAGATAACCAATTCATTCAGATAAAGATATAAAACCCTTCATTTTTTCTAATTCTAGAATACTTTCTAAAGTATTATATGAAGGAGGAACAGACACCAAACCAAAAATACCCAAGGAAAGACTTAATTCCCACTATTAAGATGGAGTACATGGAACAACTCTTCTAGACAGGATACAAATTACCATTAATGCTTATTCCAGGTGGGAAAAACAGATGTAGTTTAAGAAAACTATTTCTGCTAAATAAAATATTTATAGTTTTTTACAAATAGTTTGTTACACCTCGAAAAATGAAACTCACTGACCATCTGTTCCTAGGAGAGAGAGCACCCAGTAACACTCGCTTTGGCTAGAAATCCCAACTCAAAGTCAACGCACCATGAGTGTGGGCCATCCCAGAGCTTAATGACCAGCCAAATCAGGCAAGATCAGCTGTCAGGGGAAAAATTTGGATGGAGATGACCCAGTATTAACCGGTTAAAACAAGGGAACTACCACTAGAACAGAAGATACTGTCCAGAGGTGAATATCTGCAAGCGATGAGCCTGCAAGGTTCCTGCACACCCACTCCAGAGGCTGAGTCTACAAAATGTAGCATCACCTCCATGAGTTGAAGGGATATGGAAAAAAGAATAGCAAAACAAAAGAACGAACCTGAAACAGGAAGGATTATCAAATAAAAAAATAAAATAAAATAAAAAAAAACAGCAAAAAAATCTCTCACCCAAAATTTTATTCCCTTTTGTTGTGGAACCTCTTGTTCCGCACTAGGCAGCAACAGCCCAATGGACCCAAAGCCCGTCTCAGCAGTATTGTCTCTGTTCAGGGAAAAGGGAAAAAAAAAAAAATTAAAATCAGAAGTGAAAAGTTCACACAGGTTTTTCTCTGCTCTGTTTCCCCCAGTCTGAAGCGCAGGCATTCCCAAGACTGAGGTTTTAACCGTATCTTTAGATTCGGCTGACTTTGGGGAGTTTTCACACCCTGTGAATTTGTTGAAGAAAAATATATATATTAGGCAAGCTTTGCTTTTGGCCTACACAATATCTCTTGACAACGTAACACACACATAACAAAAAAAAAAAAAAACAACACAACACACTCCTTCCCTTTAATTTCAAGGTGACAACATTAACGGATGCCCAGTGAAATACAGCAAGCCATTTTCATTTTCTGAAATTTGTGATTTCACGTAATGGTCATTGCCCCCTGCTTAGTGATCTCATATCGTATATTCAATCTCACCTAGTCAAGCAGGATCTGTCAGTATTTTTCCTACATTTCCTACAAAAAAGAGAGCCCATACAACTAAAGGGACTGCTGAGGTAGAATCACACAGCTGGGGCAACCAAGAGAACCCACCACTGGAAGAGTTCTCCGCACAAAAGAGCAAAGTATGGTATAACACGAAGCTGCACAGAGGACTCATGCATGTATAACACATAAAAGTTAGCAGGAGACTGAACAATTGTTATGGTTCTTTAACATGAGGGGGGTGAGGCCCTGGCACAGGCTGCCCAGAGAAGCTGTGGCTGCCCCCTCCCTGGAAGGGTTCAAGGCCAGGTTGGACGGGGCTTTGGGCAACCTGGGCTAGTGGAAGGTGGCCCTGCCCGGGGCAGGGGGGTTGGACTAGATGATCTTTAAGGTCCCTTCCAACCCAAACCATTCAATGTACGTATCTTTATAATTGTTTTTTAACTAAAAATACACAGAGGAAAAAATACATTTTTACTTTTGGGAAGATTATTCATAGAAGAGTGTATGTCCACACGCTTGAGCAGAGACAACATATCTAAATAGATATACAAGTGCATGTTTTAGAACAGCATCCATAAAGATCTGATAGCTCAGATAACTCCGGAGACTCTAGTTAACCACGCAATAAACCCATTTCCCACACACAGACTTAAACAACTGATCTTTTTTTTTTTTTTTGGTACCAAATTTGGAAACTAATGCTTTAGAAGGAATTTAACATGATATTAATGCTGTTTATTATGTTTTAATTAAAAAAAAAAAATATAGAAAACAAGAAGAAGAATGGCTTAGGCAACTCAGGTAGAAGCACTTTACACCATGTAAAGCTAAGGATGTAGAAGCATTATACCCTTTGTACAAGAATTATTCCCCAAAGAAAGTGTTTTAATTTAAATACTGAAAAATGTTGGCTGTTTGGTTTGTTTTAAGCAGGAGGAGCATCATCACGCAGGACTCAGCCTTCCAGACTGATCATCAAAGCTTTGTTATCCCTCCTCGTGACAGGATGGTGCCAAAAATCAAATCACGTGGGAGGATACTGGGGCTGGAGAGAGCAGCAAAGGATGCTGAAGGAGCTCCTGCCCTGAGTTTTCATACCCTTAAAACCACACAATTACCCTTTCCTCTTCTTTGATGAACACAGTCTTATTTCAACACCCTCAAAAGCCAACAGCAGAAACTCCAACACATGAAAAAAAAAATAAATCTTTAAGAGCCTTTAAGTTAAATACAGTAGCCGGTGCTGGCTTTCAAAGACAAGGTAAATAAGACCTTTAAATTTTAAGATGTTGCTCAGCAAACCTTTGTCATACGCTAGATCACGCAACACTTTTTCCTCATTTATTTCTCTGGCCAAAGGTCAAAATTTATCCTCCCGAGAGACAAGTCTTCCCGTAGAGAGAGCGATGAAACTCCCACATCCGACTACCTCAGGAACAACGCACATCCCCATCCTCGTAACCTTGCAAACATCGAGATACGCTGTGGTTTCCCAAGGAGGCAGCCTTCCCTCTTGGTAATCGCACGAAGCGTGTGCATTGTCAGCACAGATGTAGGATTCCTTGTACGAATCCTATTCCTCCTGCAACACATCTAAGGAGGCATCGACGTGAAGTACCCGCTGTCTACTGGTTCACAACGCATTGGCAACTGAACAGAAAGTCTATGTATCAACACACAGCAGTCTTGGGAGTGGGGTTTTTTGGCTTTTTTGGTGTTTTGTTTTGTTTTTTTTTTAATTTACAAGAAAAACGTAAAAGCAGAGGTAACTGCTTGGTGTATGGCTCAAACAAGCACTAACCTGCTCAACTGCCAGGACTGCAGTTCCCCCTTCTCCGACGCATGCCACACCTCAGGGCATTCAGAAGTCCCAGCAAAGTGCAAGCAGCAGAGGATCCTCACCAGCTCTGACATCACATACCCAATCTGCTCACTCCTTGACTACCTGTCTCACTTTCCACGGACTAAAAAGTTCCCATAATTCATAAAAAGAGCAAAACTGAGCAAGTTACAGAGGAAAATGCTGGCAGCTGCAGCTGTTTTCATCGGATCAATTACACTTCCCATTTGTATTAAAAAAAAAAAAAAAGTGTTATTTAGTGCAACTTAAGGTAGGAGAAAAAAAGCAAAAATCTTCCCTCTAGCTATCTCACAGGGAGCAATCCTGCTCCAAGTGAAAACAGCATTATTTGTCCAGCACACAGGGTCCAGCACTGAAATGTCACAGAATCATGTAGGTTGGGAAGGACCTTGAAGCTCCTCCAGTCCAACCGTTAACCCAGCATTGACCGTTCCCAACTCCCCCAGATCCCTCAGCGCTGGCTCAGCCCGACTCTTCAACCCCTCCAGGGATCCCGGGGACTCCCCCCCTGCCCTGGGCAGCCCATTCCAATGCCCAACAACGCCTATGACAGGATTCTCATGGCTCCTAAGGTAAGAGTTTCTATCACCTTCATGTAGCTTTGGGTCAAGTGTTTTCAAATTGCCTCTACAAGAAAAAAATCAGTAATCATTTTTCAGAACGAGCTAAGTCGTGGCACATCCCATCCCTGGTAAGTGGGGATTCAGGTCCTTAGGCGTAGCAATATGGTGGCCGAGTTTCACAGAAGTCTCAATACTACGACCATCTCTCAGAGCACCCAATGGTGCAGGCAGCTCTTCGAGGATGAAAACCAATACTGAAATTATCCACATGCACTACGTCACGCAGGCAACTTCTTGTCAACCCATCTTCTCCTTATCTCATCCTCCCACCCTCCCCATCCCACAGATCTGTGTTTTCTTCTCCAACTCTATCTTGTCAGGTGTCTTCACAGCAGGGTTTCTCCTTTTGCTGGACACTGTGCAGGAATGAAAAAGGGCCATGAACTTTGGTTGGCATCCATCGGAACAACTCCATTATACGGAGGAATTAATGACAACTCTGCCTACCTGCAGGTTTTTTGTTGGTTTTTTTTTGTTTTTAAGCCATCATGTATAGAACTCACATGTCGTCAGTACAGGAATATCACGCTAAAGATCTGGAAAGCAAGGGGTGGGTTTTCCTCGTTTCTATGGTTATAAGCAATTTTAATGACCAACCTAAATAAAAAAGCTGGAAGAGAGAGAAAGTAGGAAGGAGCGAAGTAGGCGTTTAATTTTGATTGACAAGACATAGCATAACTAGTTAAGATCTGTCAAATGCCTGCTGAGGATCACAAATCCTCGGTACATTGTATGGCAGACAGAATTAGTCTAAATGCACAGCTTTACAAAAATGTTTCTTACCCGGCAAGATCAGAGTTCACTATTTCAGTTTCCCCGCACAAAGCAGCTGATATCATAACTACCGAAGGCACCAAGGTAGGGATTGAAAAAAAATATATTAGTTTTTATTATTTGTGAGGTTAGCAAATGTTAACAAGCTACAATGTCTTCACTTTTGTCCCTGGACAATGTATGTTTATATATATTTTTTTATATATATGCATGCACATATATATATATACATATATATATATATATATATATATATATATATATATATAAAAATAAAAGGACAGCATTCCCAATATGGCCAACTACCACAACAAACTGAAAAGTATTATCAACGGCATCGCTTTGGAATCACATCTGCATCACTTTAAATGCTGTATAAATACAGAGTAAGGAGACGATTCCTGCATTAAAGACCTTAAAATAGGAGACTGAATGCAGAAAGAGTTGAACATAGATTGGATGGGAAACGTCAGGAAAGGTAGAGACATTCTGGAGAGACAGAAACGCCGACATGACAGTAGGCTGTGAGGCTCCCTGAAGATATACCATTAAAAAAACACAACGTTTGGGGGGAAAATGAAGAGCATCTCTACAAATGCTCATGGTTGATGTCCTCAAGATGGAAGAAGAACAGAGCTACAGTGACTTGGAGCATTTCAAAGCCAGGAACAGAGATGCATGACCTTGGAGGGAAGAGTCAACACCTCAGTGAGGCACAAGGCAGCACAAGAAGGGCTCTGACAGACGTAACCCACGGCTTGTGTTCAATGCCACAGAGGTGAAGGATGGAGCAAAGGACAGTCAGAAAGAAGATTCAAAATGTGCCTGAACCAAGCTAGTAAGAGGTTTTTCTTTCCCTCGCTCAGCACTGTCGAGATGCAAGCAGGACACTGAATCTTCACAGGGCTACGCACTCACGAGAGCACCACTTTCTGCATTTCCATGCACTTTCTTTTAATGTTTTAAAAGACTCCGCTATTTTATCAAATGCTGTTTGACTTTTAGGGAGGGAAAAACTAGGCAAGAGAGGACAGGGTTATGAAGGAGGGAAGTCAACAGCTCCCGAGATGCCTGCCAACAGGATCTGCACTTAAACCATGCAGTTTTGGCAGAGAACACTCTCAAAATTTGATATTTAAAAGTCTTATGGTGTTGGAACGTATAATTAAAGTAAAAGGACACATGTGAACTAAGAGCTGATCAACATAAACTTGTACCAAAGTCAGTAGAACATGTTCCTACAAAGTCTCAGCCACCTGGTTCTTCCATGCTACATTGAAAGACAGAAAAATTAGCTACCGACTAC